TTTCCTAAATTGTTGTAGCTTTTAGTGAGCCGCGACGATAGTGATAGATATCCCGCGCTATATTAAATAGCCGCTTAACGCCCGCGCTAGTCGCAGGAATCGAGAGAATATCTCGTGCGAGTTTTGCAAGTATAGGAAATATAGCCTAGTGCTCCTTCTAGAACGCGCGAACTAGCATAATAGTAGTAGTTGCTAACGAATATTGATTAACCTAAGTTTGACAATATAAAGACTAGGTATACTTACCACTATAAAGATATATTGTAAGTTCGTTCTACTAATAAGCTTAAGATACCTGGTTAAGGCTAAATATTTGATCAAGATCTAGGCTTAAGCCTTGCGTAGTAGGCTCTTGATCACTGCTAGTTTGTTCTTTTCACCGACGTTGCTTATACGGTTCAAAATAGTCCTTAAAGCTCTATCGATATCGAGTAACTAACTTAGGCCCACTACCCTATTCTCTACTTCGGAAGAACTAGAGTTTTAGGTGCGGAGCAAGCATTGTACTAATAGCAAAAATATCACTATAGATATCCTCCGTCTTACTATAGTACTGCCTTAGCTTTTCCTCGGCTACGCGGAGAGCAGTGAATATAAGCTTTTTCTAGGCGACATTCTTCCTTACAAGCTGCCTGATTGACTTTTCAAGATAATCAAAGAGCTTATTGTAGATTGCAAAGATTAGGTGGATAGTGACATCCTTTGTCTTTGATAGTGCAGTCGTAAATCGGAAGAATAGCTGTGTAATTAGGAGTAGATAATCAATCTAACGCCATTACTCATAATCAAGCTAGAGGTAGGGATAGCTATACTTTGAACAGAATTCAATTAAGTAGGATTGTAGTCGTTTAGCTCGGCGAAGCATTAAGAATGTCGAGTTCTAGCGCGTACAGACGTCCTATATTAGAATAAGAGCGTTCGAACCCGTCTAAAGAGACAGGAAAGCTTCACGACATTAGGGGCTCGCGTTAATAAAGATCGCTAGGCCCCGAAGCTAATGCGATATTAGAATTAGATATCTACTAGATTAATTAGGGGCGAACCTTGTTTAGAGTGTCAATAATCTCCCTTTTCTAATGCCTAGCCCGAACTAACTGTTCCTAGGATTCAGTCTATTCGGCCTAGGCAGTATTGTTCTTTGGTTCTGCCTTTATCTATCCGAGAAGTTGCTTCAAACTTAATTATATAACGTGGGCCATACATAGAACTCGAATGATTGCTATACTATTACCGAGATCAAGAGACTAAACCGATTCCTGAATACTTGCCACCAATATATTATTGTTTGATACATTATCGGTAGTGATAGTAAGCACTCGATCGGCCAGATTATGATTCCGTAGAAGCTAAAGTAGAATAGCACTAAGATTAGCACCAGAATATGCTCCACGAAGTGGTTCAAATCCAAGAAGTAGCTCTCGATAGTTCTAGTCTTTGTCAATGAAATATCTAGTGACTGCTATAAATGCTTGGGCAAAAGGGGACGTCCAATAGTTAAGGGCAATTGAGATTTTCCTATCTGCGGGCAAGCTCTCGAGTATTTTCCGATGGCGTTCGAAGACTATAGTGCGTAGTCGACTCCGTGCTACCTTTGTAGACGGAATATTGACATCCTTAGGAGCTCTTTGGGCTATAGCTATAATATCCCGGAAGCCTACGTGCTCTAGGAGCTAGAATAGTAGTCTTGATTTAGTAATAAACCGAAGAAGACATGATTCCCACTTTTCTTGGCTAAACGGGGTATCGGTAGAAGGTACTAGCGCCTTGAGAAATCATTAAAATCGACGTATATAAGGATAAAGAGGGTATTATACCGCTTGCATGAATTGCCTAATATTTGGGCCTCTCTTCTTTACACCGTAGCTTGCAACATATTTCTTTATGGTTAAAGTCCTATCACTAAGCCCTAGGTGGTTTAGAATAGCCTTGCAAAACTTATATATTACCTTCGGTTCCCTATTAGTAGCCCTGGCTACCTAGTCAAAACGATCCTAAATATCAGAGAAGTGCCGTGAGTCCTAGCGTAGGCGCTTCTTTCTTCCAAAGTCTGATTATAGCCACTATTGTACGAACTCGATAGTTATTTCTTTAGTATATACTATATATAGAGTGACACGGTTAGGTCGAATAGTCTCGAGGTTAGGTGGAATCGGAGACAAGAAGGTTTGTAGTGTGAAATCGGAGTCGATTGCGGAGCTTGCGACTAGAGGAAATGCCTATTGACTAATCGATGGATTAGGGGTAAGGTCGTCCGAAGGAAGAATTGGAAGGTTATCTAGTAGTGGGAGGTCTATGTTATACGTAGATAATGCGTAGGTATTAGTGAATTGAGACATTAGGGACTATATATATTGAAGGGTTTCTCGCTAATAACTGTTAGACGACTTACAGAAGATTCTAAAACGCGTAGACTTATATTTGGGGGCCTCGCGATACCCCTGTTCTTCGAAGACAAAAAGATAATATATTAATAAAGGCCTACATAGGAAGAAGAAAAGGCATATTAATTGGTTTATCGTATGTATATAGAACGGGTAACCCGCGGGTTACCCGCCAAGAACCTATAAACCTATAGGTTACCCGCTACACTTAATATATTCCCTTCAAGTTGGTCCCGAAGTACTAACGGCCATCGAAAAAAGCTTGTACGGTATATAAGGCTTTGTAGAACACTATAACTTAATAATCGTATTAACTAACGGCCGTCAAAAGTACTAGTGCGATTACTTATAGTCTATGGCACCCTTTTTGTGACGGCCGTCAGAACTTTGATGCCTTTGTTATAAATATCCGCTAAGTTCACTGCACGTCTTATATATATATTTCCTATCTACAGAGCAGTATTCCAACAAGCATTTTTTTCACTACCACAATTATATAGAAAAACGCCGAGAGCAATATCTATAACATTACCACGACTTACTATTCTGAAAACAAGGCAATTTCCTGAAATTTCACAAAAGAAAGAGAGGCTTTCGGGAAAGAACAGCAGACGTGACTAGAACAGAGGTAAATAACCGTAATTTAATTGACTTAATCAGCAGCCTTATCTATCTTGGCACGGCCTATTTAGGATAGTTATGCTGAAACGGGTTCTTGGCGGGTAACCCGCGGGTACCCGCCAAGAACCCGTAAACCCGTGGGTTTGGGTTTGGGTTTTGGGTCCATACCCGACCCATGGGTACGGTTCCTGAAGTCGTACCCAAACCCGACCCAAAGCGAGGTCTAACTAAGAACGTCACGCTACTAGTCAAGACCTACTAGTCTCCTCTCCTAGATCAAGACTAAGCATAGTTCTTTATAATTTGCTTCGCCCTAAGAAACCGAAAGCGAAGCTAGTTAGGGATAAGATAACCCAGTATCTTGACGGTGGTAAATTATATCCTTATTATATTTACTCGGTATTTATTTGTTAATCATTTCATATAGATATCATTGATTCTAAGCCGCTACCGTTTTAGCGAGAGAACTATAGCCGTTTTCCTACGATTGCTTCGCTTGCGCGGGATATACTTACAATTCTAGCAACTAGTGTAGGTATAGAACGACTGTTTAACACTGCTCGCGATATTTGCTATTATCGCCGGGGTCGTATAAAGGTAGAGACTATTAAAGAGTTAATACTATTCCTTTATATATTAAGATTTGACCTTTAATTGTAGGAGGCAAAGGAGCTTGAACGATTCTTCTCTTTAAATGAGATCGAAGCATTGAGAGAGGAAAAAGACGAGAAGCTGGACGATATTGAAGTTGACTAGATTAGTGATATAGAAGAGTAGGCCGAGACTTCTAGAGATTTGACTGATATTTATAAGGATGGAGATGATAGTGGTGCTACTTATGATAATGATGATAATAGTGATGATCTTCTATTACTAGGTCCTAGCACTTAGCCACGTGTGTTAGGTAGGAAAAGGAAGCATATAGAGGATGATATGTATGAGTCTTATTAGTAAATACTAGAAGCATATACTAGAATCAATCAATATTCTCTAAAATCTATTTTATTGGGAGTGAACAATATAACTGAAATACCCAAAATGACTGGGAATTTCTGCATTATTTGTGCAGTCACGAGAAATTGGCATGTTTGCACTGTTTAGTCGTAGAGGGGGGTCCTCGTCGAGCCCCCCCCTTCGAGCTTCGGGCCCAAACCCAAAGCTCGAAACCCGCTGCGAGCTTTGAAAATGGGCTCGAAACCCGACCCTTTTGAGGGTCGAGTCGGGTCGGGTTTCGGGCTTTTCGAGCTTTGCGGAAGTCTACCCACCATGCTTCCAGCACAAACTTGAGGTACTTCTGTTTACTATGCAGCCCCCTACTAAAATTAAGTCACTTTTGTACTCTCCCACCGACCATGCTCCCAGCATCACACTAGTCCCAAATAGGAAATGGATGCTGTTTTCGAAACCTCTACAGAAATGAAGGAATTGGCCCATGCAGCGGCCAGCAGCCATGCGTCAAATTTTTCAAAAAATTACATGAGAATAGCGAAGGCATATTGTAAATTCGACAGTATTAGCATTTTAAAACGCTTTCCGGCGCTTCCTGAGGCGATCAGACCAGGAATCCTCGCCCTGAGATGCTCATGAAGCTATTCCCGACCCCTGAGATGTAGGAGTAATGCTCGCTGGCGATACCGCGTGAGCTTGCTGGGCCGTGGATGAAGCCATTTCCATGCCTGGAGAGGTAGAAATGCTCGCTGGCGATGCCGTATGAGCTTCCTGGGCCGTAAATGAAGCTATTCCCACCCCGTTATTACCCTGCGATGCCTGTTGTGTCCCTCCACGTCCACGTCTACGTCCACGGCCACGTCCACGGCCACGTCCACGGCCACGGCCACCTTCCTAGGCCGTAGATGAAGCTATTCCCACCCCGTTATCACCCTGCGATGCCTGTTGTGTCCCTCCACGTCCACGGCCACGGCCACGGCCACCTTCCTGGGATAGTATGAGCTCGAAGCCGGAGGGATCTCGCTGGGTGGAGGTGTCTTGGGTGCTTGCCTAGGTGCCTTCGCCGCTGATGAAGTTCCTAGCGCCTTGGGGGCGTCCTCGCCGGCGTACTTGGAGGGGATCCTGGAGTAGAAGCAGCGGGTCAATAGGAGGCGTAGAGACACTGTACAAATACCAGTGTTGATGGAATAACTCAGGCTTAAAGCTCTTCTTCTCCACTTCGTACTGTATAATGAGATGAATGCATGGAAACCCTGCCGTATTCAGCGAATTACAGCGGCAAAGTGGAGGAATCGGCGGCTTCTTATCACTTGCTGGCAGGAAGCGGTTGTAGACGTCTTTTGTATGCTCCATCGCCTTAGCCGAAATTCGTCTAAGAACTAGCCTGAATAGCTGCTTCTAGCGACTATCAGTAGACCTTCTTACCTTCTCATTCTCGATCTTAGCGGTAACCTTTTGAAATTGAAGCTTTACAGCATTCTCAAAGGTGCGGAGAACAACCAGTAGATCATTAGTCGAGACTTGAAGGTCCTGCTTAAGCAGCCAGTGAGCTCCCTCGGTCCGAGAGGTCGAAATCTCGTTAAGATGAAGGTATTCAGAGGTGTATTCATGAAGGAAATACTCGGGGCAGTCGTCTAGCCATTCACTCTGTAGATATTCGAGTAAAGGCTCAAAAATCGGCTCTTCGTAGCGCTCTTTAAATTGCTTCCATTTCTCCTCCCTTTCTTCGGCTGTAATAGCATAGACGACGCGAATCCACCGCTTTAGCATCGTCTTCTATGCTTTATGGACCTTCTCGCGGAGCTCTCGGTCTCTTTCTGACTTCGTCCGACGCTGTGAGGAAGCTAAAGAAAAGGAAGCATTAGCTAAAGAAGCCGAGGAACCCGAGGAAGTATTACCTAAACCTGATACGTCAGCTTCTTGCTGAGCTTTAAGGAGCTGCTCCGCGAGAATCGGGCGAGCTTTCTTCATAATATTCATGTTAATATGCTATAGACAGATCATGTGCTTTGTAGAAGGGAAGACGACCTTCACAGCATTTATTAGCGCTTGCTCCTTATCGGAAAGGATGGTCCGGGGTGCTTGAAGGCTAAGAGCTTCGTAAGCCTCTGCTAGACAGCTTAAAATGACTTCGTAGCTGTCATCTTTCTCGTCTTTTATGAAGGCGAAGCCGACGTAAAAAGTTGAGCCCGTAGCAGTGAAGCCGACGATATCGAGCATTAGAAGGCCGTACCGGTTAGTTTTGTATGTGCAGTCCATTGAAATAACCCATGAATTGGTCTTAAGTAAGGCAATACTCGTTTTATGCATACAAAAGAGGGCTGTGACATGATTCTCATCATCAACTTCATGCTTAAAGATCCATTCGCCGTCCTTCGGAAGCTCTATTAATAGGGCTTGAAGCGGCGTACGACTAGCAAGGAATTCAACGTGAAGCTTCTTCCGGAAGTTGTAGATATCCTGGCTAGTAAGGCATGAATCCTGATCGTCCTTCTGTAGACCGGCGAGAATATGACGGGTAGAAAGGCCCTACTCGAGCTGCTTCTTGATATTCGGCTCATTTGTAGATAGCTCCTGCTGCCGGTGAGGTGTATGGGTAGACGGAGGCGAAGGATCATGATTGTGCTGTTGGTTCTCTACCGTAAGGTTCCACTGGCCTTCATGAAGTCGTAGCGAGATCAAAAACGGGCATTCAATAGACATTGAGGTAGTCTGCCGTATCCGGCTATTTGGCCGTACGCTTCTACCCCGGTCACAGCATAGCCGGACAGTCTTTTTGACGCCTTTTTTAGTGATTTTTGAGCGGAGAATTGTGACTGCATAGCCATGTTGACGGCCGAAAGCATTAATCGCGGCGATTCCTTGCTCTGACGTATCGTATTGCTGATCGAGGGGAGGTAGCGGGAAGGTATAGAGGCTTGGCAGCGTGGGAATCGCGTCATGGAGGCTTGGCGGCGCGTCATGGAGGCTTGGCAGTGTCGGCGGGGACTCGGGAATAGCTTCAGGCTCAGAGTCGGACGGCGAATCAGGCTGTGATGAAGCCATTGTAAAAGGTAGTGAAATAGGTGAGAATGAGAAGTAAAATGCATCAAAAATGGGTGGAAAAATGGGAGGTTTGAAGGTGTAAACAACAACTATTTTGAATTCCTTACTGTGTACTGCAGTGGAACAGGAGTGACTTATTTTTACTAGCGATTTACATAGTAATTGGATGTACCCAAGGTGGTGATATACATGCAGGGAAGTGGTACCAATAAATAAAAAGTTCGAGGAGGAAAGCGGTGACGAAAGCGGTCAGTGGACGCCTCAAAATTCAGGCAGGGGGGGGGGTCGCATTACGCAAAGGGGGGGGTCGCTATACCAATCCCCTATATTTAAAGGATAGAGAATTAAACCATCTTTTAAACAACCAAACCAGTAACAGTCTATTCACCACATCTCTCATTTCTGTCTTTGATCAAAGTAAGCAAAGATAGATCATAATATGAAAATAAGTCATACTATTCTATTTTAGCAGCTTTTTAAGGTAGTCTATCCGGATCCTTTTAGTATAACGTATTCGATAAGCGAGCTGGCCACCCCATGCGAGCTGGCCACCCACCTATTAAATCTACCATTATTATTGAATTTTTCAACCACAACATAAATTCAGTAAAATTGAAGCTATTCAGACATCTCCGGGTACCTATTTCTCCTATGTCCTAGGTTTTTATAGAGGCTGCATCGTTGTGGTCTCCTCTTATTAGTCCGATTCGGCGTCGGCGATACAGCTCTATCTCGACCTAAGCTAGCTTTATAAACTATTTCCGGTCCTGAAACTATTGATATAGCCTCTAGAACCGATATTCCGCCTTTATAAGCTATTCGCTTCCTCGTACGCTTCCTTTTCTAGGTTGTTTTCGTATTAGCGGTACGTAATTCGCGGTTTTCCTAGCGTATAATCGTAGCGCTAGACTTCCGCAAAGCCCATTTTGGGCCCAAGGTTCCGGCCCAGAACCCAACCCAGCCTGGGCCCGGGTTGAACTTCATTAACCCGGGCCCAACCCGGGCCCAGCACTGGGCCCCCAGTAAACCCAGTTTGGACCCAACTCGGCCCAACTTTTGCATTATTTCAATCATAAAACTGCTCAGTCATCAAGATAACTCACTGTTTTTTACATCGGTTTTGATCTATACCTTGAACCACCATACTTTTCTAGTATAACTAGAGTGTGTTCAAAGCTATAAACGCGTAGAATCAATTTTAAATAAGTAGTTATGGTTCTTTAGGCTCAGAAAGGTCAGACTTTGCTATGGTTTTCACAGTGTTTGACTTATGACCTTTTTATTGACCTTATATTAGATATACGTAGATAAGTTCTATAGGCGACACTATAGGTTTTCTGACGGCCGTCAGAAATTATTAAACTGAGGTTTATCTTAAAACCTAGTACTGATTTTTTGACGGCTGTTAGAAATCATGGTGTAAATATATATAGTGTGCGGATATATATTTCACAATATACAGTGTTTGTATACCCATGAATACTTGAAAAAACCACTATAGAATTCGGGTATTGTTACTTTAAATCTTATATATCATATATACTAATTATATTCTTTATTATTCCACTATATTCGACTAGTAGCTAGTAAGATTATATAGATTGTAGGTCTTTTTAAGTACTTGTATAAACCCGGATAGGTAAGGCAGGATAAAACTTTTTGACGATCTTAGGTGGAAGCTAGGGTGGGAATTGGGCTTTCTGGGTTTTTGCTAGGTTTTTACTAGGGGTTTGCTAGGTTTTCTGGGTTTTGGCTAGGCTTTCTAGGGTTTTGCTAGGTTCTTACTAGGCTTTCTAGGTTCTTACTAGGTTATTGGGCTGGATAGATACGGAGGTGGAGTAATATAACTAATAAACCACGCGGATACGTTTTAAGGTCCTCTTCTAAATTGATCTATCGCGTTTGCTTTATTTATACACCGTCATTAGATATTATTGCTCCGTAAGTCCTCTATTCCCCCTCTATCACTTACTTTACACTTATTCAATTTATTATGTCATAAAGCCAGTAGTCTAACTTCGCGTCCTCTTTTTATAATGGCGATATAGATAATATTAGCTATCTTGCGCTATTAAACCACCTAGCGACTCCCTCTAGTAGCTAGTATACGATCGATCCCTTTGACACTAACTTCCTCCGACCGACAATTCCGCCAATACTCCTATCCTCCTTACAACGCGTTAGACCCGACCGAAGGAAGGCGTTTATTCTCTACGATAAAATAACCTATAACGAATAGGTAGAATGGTGGCTATAAACCGACTTTGGGAGGAAGAGCAAGATTGTCTAGGACTCAACGCGCCATTCGGAGATTTGGAGCCACTACAATCAGGTTGCTCATAGTATAGATAGTGCACCAAAGGTTATATGCCAACATTGTGGAAATATTCTTGAGCACCCTAATATAGTCAATACGAAGGCCATAGGTAAAATACAATATCATGGTATATCGACAATGCAGAGATATCTCAAGATAGCGGCTTGTTTAAAGAGCGGATATACAAAAAAATCACAGATTACCAAATTTCTAAAGCAAGTAGTACGTTCGGAGTAACCCTTTTATTCGATTTCATTTACTAATAGTAATACTAAACTTAGGAAGATATCGAAATACTGTTCTCGCAAGTAGCCTAGGAAGAAGACATCCTACAATTTATCACACTCAATCGGTTTCCACTTTATCTTATTGAGCATCCAGTATTTCAGCGTCTTATTTCTCGGGCTCGTACCGCTCCGTCACCTCCGATTATCCTATCTACTAATACAATTCGTCGCCGACTAGGGAGCATTGTTAAAGATCGGTAAGAGCGGATACTCCGAACACTGCCTATTGGTTCGAAAATCTCAATTGCACTTGATTGCTGGATATCTCTATTCTTATAGGCGTTTATGGCAATTATAGGCTATTTTGTAGATATTGATTGGGTATATCGTGAGGTACTACTTAGGTTTAAACCTCTCTACGGTGCGTATATAGGCGCGAATCTAAGCAATGTTCTTCTTCAAACTCTGATCGAGCATAACCTTGAAGCCCGAGTGTTTGGGTTAACAACGGACAATGCTTCAAACAATAAGATATTATTTGATTCCCTCCAATAGGGTCTATCAGATAGTGTTATCATTGTTCGAATCCTATGCCTTGCTTACGTTATCTAACTTAGTCTAAACTAGCTCCTTGATCGCATTAAAGTAGTTCCACTAAATGACTCAACTAAGACAAAATAGATAGAGAAGCAATCAAGATTAGCTTATTTAAATGCGTAGCATCGGAATCGTGAGATATCCTTTACATTGAATAAGGTCCGCTATCTTGCTATCTATGTGAACGTAAGCCCTTAGCGCCGGGAGACATTTTATAATCTCCAGATAAGCACCGTGAAGCTAGTACCGATCCAAGATATAAGGACTCGGTGGAATTCAACCTTTCTAATGCTACGTCGGGCAAAACGTCTACGTCCGATCTTTGCGCTATTTTGTGTAGAGTATGATTGCGAAGAGATACTACTCTATAAGGACGAGTGGCGTCAAGTTGACTATCTTCTTTGTATCACTAAGCTATTTTTCGCCTACACAACTTAGCTATCGAAGACTCGAGATATTACTACGCATTACGTCTTCAAGATCTACAATAAACTCTTTGAGTATCTTGAGTGTTTAATAAAGCAGCTACGACGTAAGCGTGTGCTATAGAAGAAATAGATGCTTCACGCACTTGAAGCTAGTTG